GAAATTACACTGCCGGACAAAAGAAACTATACACATGACAATTGGATTTGGTCCAAAAATTACAAACCTTATCAAAGCGTTACTACAGTCCCCGAAAACAGTCCCCGAAACACTGCAAACTTAAGGCCCAAAACACAACTATGATACCGGTATGAACTACATTCCCTTCATATACCAACTGACCGTCTCCGTGGTCTAGTGGTAGAGCGTCCGCCCGGAGAGGGGAAGGTCCGGGGTCCGATCCCCGGCCGCGCCATACCAAAAGACATCAAAAGATGGTACTTGTTGTTAACCTGTCTGGCGCTCGGCATTAAGGGGCTAAAACAAGGACTGGTCGGCTCGGAGTCAGTATACTATGTCTGAGTGGGGTATTCATGTTAAACTGCGGCATGGTATCTCAGTGGGCTAGCACTATAAATCGGCATCAGCCCGGACTAATACAAGCAGCCACACAAACACACACACGTGCATGCACGTCGCTATATAAGTGCAATAATCTTGGACGCGACGTTAAACACAATTTCACCTCGAATAAGGAATATTTATAGCCATCATCAGATATGAGTGTGTACTTCTTTTCCCGGGCGGCCAAGTTGAAAGAGGAGGAATCCTTGGTGGAGAATTCAAGACAGAGTTTAATATGGCAACAAAACAAATCAAAGAAATTAATATCTGCATTATTGCAGAAAAAGGGATCTCACTTTTCAATCAACAGGGAAAAGGTCTGGAGGCGACTTTAATCTAAACCCTGGTCGTTGTGGCTTTATATATCCAAAAGATTCGCCATTCCTCCAAATTACAAAATAGAGATGATATTTGAATTCCAAAATTACGAATTAAGATTTTTACATGGTCTTGTGTTGCAGAGAGAGGAGTCGGAGCTCCGATGGACGGATGTCAGGAACCATTACCAGACTCCGCAGAACCCAGGAACCCAGTGGTCAGACCCACCACTCCAGCTGTTTAGTAATAAGCACAGGTCGCACGGACCCGTAACACTTCTGAAGACCTATTACCGTAACCCGAACCCTGCTATGAACTTGTTGCTTTGAACTCCTACTTTACTGTTGGAGCGACCGCAGACATGTCCGCACAATGACTCCTCCTTAATGTCTTCAGACAATCCTGGCAGGGCAGCAAATCTGTTACCACTGGAACAACATAGGTAGCCTGTAGGTTGATAATACCGTAGTTGATTTACACTAAACGTTTTAACGAATGTTGGCGGTGAAAACTGGTTTTGGCTTTGCGCTTGTATACACAGATTGAAGAATGGCAAATGACGCTTCGCTATGTGAGAGGTGTTGCTATCGTAATTCGTGGAATTTTATGTTGATATGTTTCATATTTTACTAACCATGTTCAGATACGCTGGCTTTACCTGTTGCGGTTGTAACCTCATCACAATGATGCTTTTATTCATTTGATCGCGGGCAGTTATTATCCGTTATTTTACTGCTCGCGCGGTAGCTCGTGCGTTTCACATTCTCCTGACGTGATTATGATTACGTTAAGTTTTTCTAAGAGCAAGGATACGTGTAAAGTTCTCGGTCAGAAATGGAACACAAAGTCGATAGCTTGCGGTATATACAAGATTGTTTTATAAACTGCTTTATAAGTACATGTAGATATATACAACGTGCAACACGTGCCAGATCAACACACAGGTAGTGGTTGTTGTGCCCCGAGCACCGAGCCTCCTAACTCTAGCTAGGCTGAGGCTGAGGTTTCTTCCCGTGCGTCTATGGACCGAGGCTTATAAAATAAAGCCATGGTGGTCTGACATAGGCGTTATAAATATAAGCACAAGTAATTAGTGATGAGTGACCGATAGTTCATACACAGCGCATTGAATTAATTGGGATGTTCTAATTAACGGCAGTTAAGCGATTCTACACATGTACCTTCCATTGCTGCATGGTAATTAGCCTTCTGAATGAAATGTTCATGCAGACAAAGGTTGTTGACAACATGTTGCTAAAGCAGCTCTGATACTGTGTTGGAATAATTAGGTCGCCGTATCACGATTGAAATGTGGCCCCCATTCCCTCAGAGATTTGTAAACGTGACTTGGCGGATATCATTTGTCTCAGGCGATTATCAAATATGTGTGTTATACACTTCGATATGCAGTGGATCAGTTGTATCTGTTTAATGTTGAAGACAAATTCGGTGAATGGCTTCATGCAACTTGATATATACTTATATAAGAGCATGTATACCATTCGGAACGTATCTCTACAAAAATAACACGACTGCGGCGTACGAGCATCAAGGAATGTGATGATATCAAGGTGTGATATCAAGGTATACCAGAAAGGTATGTCATCGAAGTATGTCATGAAGATATGTAATCAAGGCATGTCATGGCATCTAGAATGTGTCGTAAGAAGCGACTAACGGGATCGGATGGTCAGGTTCGCTGACTTGGATGATGCATGTTCTCGAAGGTACGTCACATCAAGGTATGCCATGACGATACGTCACATTAAGGTATGCCATGAAGGTACGTCACATCAAGGTATGCCATGCTGGTACGTCACATCAAGGTATGCCATTAAGGTACGTCACATCAAGGTATGCCATGACGATACGTCACATCAAGGTATGCCATGAAGGTACGTCACATCAAGGTATGCCATGCTGGTACGTCACATTAAGGTATGCCATGAAGGTACGTCACATCAAGGTATGCCATGACGATACGTCACATTAAGGTATGCCATGAAGATACGTCACATCAAGGTATGCCATGCTGGTACGTGACATAAAGGTATGCCATGAAGGTACGTCACATCAAGGTATGCCATGATGGTACGTCACATCAAGGTAGGCCATGATGGTACGTCACATCAAGGTATGCCATGACGATACGTCACATCAAGGTATGCCATGACAATACTTCACATCAAGGTATGCCACGAAGTTACGTCACATCAAGGTAGGCCATGACGATACGTCACAGCAAGGTATGCCATGAAGGTACGTCACATCATGGTTTGCCATGAAGGTACGTCACATCAAGGTATGCCATGACGATACTTCACATTAAGGTATGCCATGAAGGTACGTCACATCAAGGTATGCCATGACGATACGTCACAGCAAGGTATGCCATGAAGATACGTCACATCAAGGTATGCCATGAAGATACATCACATCATGGTATGCCATGAAGGTACGTCACATCAAGGTATGCCATGACGATACTTCACATCAAGGTATGCCATGAAGGTACGTCACATCAAGGTATGCCATGACGATACTTCACATCAAGGTATGCCATGAAGGTACGTCACATCAAGGTATGCCATGAAGGTACGTCACATCAAGGTACTAAATGAGGGATACCCGGATCATGCTATACATCAGTTTTACCGTTTGACTTTGTGAACCAAGCAAATAGGTATAAACCTTTTATCAGCGCGTAATCAGTGTTGGTATTTTTCTGAACCTGGAAATTCACCGTCCGGAAATCACCCATGCTCATTCCGTACTGTCATCCCGCCGCTGCTGGCGAGCGTCAGCGCCGAGTGTCTGTTATCCGAGAATCATCCTAATATCCAGGTACATCCTCCCACACTCGGTACCAACACACCGCCCCTAAACCCTTAACATCAAGCAACTATCGCCCCTCATAGCAACTTCATTTTATTCTAGATTTCTCTGACAAAGACAATACCAACATATTCAGTATTAAATGGCCAGAAAGGGACTACACGCCCTGACGTGTGTTTTGATGTACTTGAAAGTTGCGTGTTGCTGGAAGTGCTCTACAACTCGAGCAGTCTTAGTGCATGAGTATTGAACATCAGACACACCGCACGGTGGAAGGGACTGCGTCAGTGTTTACATCCCATGTATGTGCACGTGTGAGTGAAATTAGTTGTGTAAAAAACGTGCGACATGTGCACAGTTGAATATATCATGGCCGTCCATATACTGTATTATATAATTAATAAATTGATTTCCAAGCTTGTTTTGGTGCATCCCAGTTTTGTGTGAAACATCTGTTTTCTACTTTATGAAGGAAGGAAACAGGATTATTAACAAATATTAATGTCGGATATTGCGGGGCTGAAACAGACTGCTGTTGGTTCCATCTGGCTCCAGGCAGTCCTGCTGTGAGGACCATCACAGGCTGGCCGACATCACGTTTGTAAAATTGTGGAAAAAATCTATCATTATATCGTGATGGCTCTAGTGCCGTGTGGCTCGAACCTTCATACCCCGGTTGTGTTATTTGATTAATGATGGCCTTTCCTTTGATACAGACATGTCTCTACGTTCCCCACTCTACAAGGAAAACGTTACATTTAGAAAAACAACAACAGAGCTTCAAGCGTGGAAACAGCTTCGTGTTAATTCTAAAAGCAGAAACTTGAGTTGTTTAAGACAAGTTGAACAACAGGGGGTCATGTATTATCCTGTTTTGACAACAACGTTCCCCTCTAGCTAACGTCATGTTTAAAAACAAATATGCTTTAACTTTAAACTGTTCAACAAGTTTTTGGCAAATAGAGGTGCATATTTTCCATATACCGGCGCCTGATGACAGGAACCATGGCAACGGGATAGTGTTGATGCTGTAACTAGTGTATATTGGTATTATCGTCTTGAGATGCTATGACATGAAACAGCACACATGTTCACACCCGACTTTGGAACCGTTTAGATTCCACCTTGTTGACAGCTGGGTTGAAAGTCTTGACAAGCAGGTTCATCGGAATGACATCTTCAAATAGAGCTGCCACACACGTGTGAAGTGTTTGTGATAACAGTGCACAACCACGTGTACACAAAACATACCAATAGCTTTTGTAACATGTCATTATCAGTAAACATGTTCCGGGGTGAGAGTGCTCGGTTCCTCCGTGCACTCTTCCTGCTTAAAGTCAGAATGAAGTACTTCCGTTCCATGTTCTCTCACACGACGAGCGTGTCGACATGGTAGAAGGTGAATGCAAAACATGAAAAAATGAAATATTAAAACTACTTACGGATTCCGTCGAATCGTGTTGCGATAGTGTCCAAAAAAGTGTTTTGAGACTGGAGAATTCCCTTTCTTCCTGGCATAGTGGAACGAAGATGTAATCCAAGAATGGAACTGTCAACAAGTTGTCACAAACACGTGTACGAATACCGTTGATAAAGCGTCCTCGTCATTGATCTGATGTGATATCCAGGATGAATTAATACTTTGCGAGCTACAGCCTGTCATATAATAGGCATCGTGCAACTAACAGCTCATCAAATGCTGAGAACAAATACAAAATGGTAAACTCATCACTCAATAAAATCAACACGTGTAGAGATATCCCACGCGAGCTAAACGCTGGACATGCGGTTATAACATTAATACAACCGACCGCCGTTATTCTAATCCATCAGTTACTGCACGGACACATATTGCTTAGCTCGTCACCCTCATCCTAATGACAAGTCTGTCACGTGACTGTGACATCACAATGAAATGTACAGCAATTTCTCGCCAGTTAGTACCGTGACATCACGATATGAACTCGTTAAGGCCGCAGACTTCTGTCATAGCGCAGCATCCCAGTCAATATTTTTACAAACGCTAGTCAGAGAGACTGCACGCGCGTGGCAAGTATGAGTGGGGCTGCACTTCCCGAGCGTCTGGAGCGCTGCTTTCTCCGGATAATGGGGACCGCCGACGGAGCGAGTGAAAAGAGGATGGAGAGACGGAAGAAGGGGATGAGAGGGAGGATGATTGTCTGCCGTGCAGGTGACCGCTGCTAGTGACGGAGGAAGGCGTTGCTGTGGACGGTGTACGGCAACTGGCTGTAGAACAATGATGCTGCTGACTCTGAGGGTGCTGACCAGGCTGAACCGCCCTCCCCGTGCACGTGACAAAACAATAACTACAACGCTCATTTGTCCAAAACTGTGGAGTTTGTCACATCACGGCGCCTAGATTGTCTTTAAGTCTAACTTATTCTATAGATTCTTCTATCTAACTGTGAATCGATCTCTCCATGTACTAGCCTGTCTATACATTAATCTTATCATTTTGTCTATGTATCTACCAATCTGTCTATTATCTATCAATATATCTATCTCAACGTGCGCTTCTATACGGAGGCCCGGTACTATTAAGGAAGTCGATGTTCTTGACAATGACTTGCATTTCCGAAGGCCATATAAACAGTAAGCAATGGAAGTAGTATGTAGAAGATGAGAATCGCTCAATGTTGGTAACTGTTTGTTGGTTTGTTATTTAACGCCGCTCTCAGCGATTTTTAATAATCGAGTCTGGAACGGACAATCCAGTGATTGACACCATGAGCATCGATCCACGCAATTGGGATACGATGACATGCATTAACCAAGTCAGCGAGCCTGACCACCCGATCCCGTTTGTCGCCTCTTACGACAAGCATAGTCGCCTTTTACGGCAAGCATGGGTTCATTGGTTGCTGAAGACCTATTCTGCCCCGGATCTTCACGGATCATGTGGGTAACCGGATGCTTCACATGGGTTGTTTTTGCTGATGACTGTACTCAAGCGCGTTCAGGTTGTAAAGTGAAACTTGTCTCAGGTTATAATTAAATTGTTCTGACACCAGAACACAATGGTTGTATTTGAGGATAGTTTTAACATCTTAACCCACATATGAACACCTGTTTTGAAGATCAACTTTATAATTGACCTTTGTGTAATATGTGTAAATTGTGTAATATCTTGAGTTGTATAATATGCACTGGAGGTGTATCTACCATATCCTGTCAGTGGTATATAGACTACTCAGATACAACATTTCTTTTCTCTCGACTTGTGATCTTTTTACTCCTCTTGTCTGTCGTTACTCCAATGCTGAAACATTGTCATGCTATCTAGTCGTAATTGTGGCTGTCGTGATCCCTATTCTCAAACATCGTATCACTCGTACTTCAACTCTGACTTGCGATCTAGACTTCACCCTATGACTATCGTATCTCTCGCGTACTTCAACTCTGACTTGAGATCTAGACGTTACCCATTGACTATCGTATCTCTCGTACTTCAACTCCAACTTGCGATCTAGACGTCACCCAATGACTATCGTATCTGGCGTACTTCAACTCCGACTTGCGATCTAGACGTCACCCAATGACTATCGTATCTCTCGCGTACTTCAACTCTGACTTGAGATCTAGACGTCACCCATTGACTATCGTATCTCTCGTACTTCAACTCTGACTTGCGATCTAGACGTCACCCATTGACTATCGTATCTCTCGCGTATTTCAACTTTGACTTGCGATCTAGACGTTACCCAATGACTATCGTATCTCTCGTACGTTAACTCTGACTTGCGATCTAGACGTCACCCATTGACTATCGTATCTCTCGTACGTTAACTCTGACTTGCGATCTAGACGTTACCCATTGACTATCGTATCTCTCGTACGTTAACTCTGACTTGCGATCTAGACGTCACCCATTGACTATCGTATCTCTCGCGTATTTCAACTCTGACTTGCGATCTAGACGTTACCCAATGACTATCGTATCTCGCGTACTTCAACTCTGACTTGCGATCTAGACGTCACCCAATGACTATCGTATCTCTCGCGTATTTCAACTTTGACTTGCGATCTAGACGTCACCCATTGACTATCGTATCTCTCGTACTTCGACTCTGACTTGCGATCTAGACCTCACCCTATGACTATCGTATCTCTCGCGTACTTCAACTCTGACTTGAGATCTAGACGTTACCCATTGACTATCGTATCTCTCGTACTTCAACTCCAACTTGCGATCTAGACGTCACCCAATGACTATCGTATCTAGCGTACTTCAACTCCGACTTGCGATCTAGACGTCACCCAATGACTATCGTATCTCTCGCGTACTTCAACTCTGACTTGCGATCTAGACGTCACCCATTGACTATCGTATCTCTCGTACTTCGACTCTAGACGTCACCCATTGACTATCGTATATCGCGTACTTTAACTCTGACTTGCGATCTAGACGTCACCCAATGACTATCGTATCTCTCGCGTATTTCAACTCTGACTTGCGATGTAGCCACTGTCGTTTCCCAAAGAACGTCGTTATTCCCGTACTTCAACTCTAACTTGCGATCAAGACGTCTCCCAATGACATTTGTAACTCCCAAACTCCAAGATTGACTTGCCATTTAGTTGTAAACCTTGGATTTTCGTAACTCCCATGCTCTAACACTGACTTAGGGCGTAACGCTATGACTGTCGACACTTCCATGCCTCAATATTGTCTTGCGATCTAGTCGCTACTCTCGCAGTGTAACATTGAGTTAACACATCTAGTATAGTAGCGTCATGACGAGAGGTGCCTGTTCCTGACAACACCAGTCTTGTGTTGGATGTGTTGAACTGTTGCCGTGTCCGATTTGTGCGTGCATTATTAACACCTGTCCATTCCCCTCAAACGTGTTATACAGGTGTGCACGTGTGTGTACGAGAGTGTAGAACAGGCTCTCAGTGGAGAACCAAGTCATCAGATCAGACCGGTACTGAAGCAGTCGAGACATGGAACAGACACTGTCATGTCGTCAGACAGACACTTTATTCAGTATGTAAGGCCATATGGCCCATAGTACAGTTCAGTTTTAACAAATACATGAAAATCAACGTGATCTTGAACATAGGATTATATATATATTGACCTTAGGTTGAATACATGTTTTAAACATTGCTAAAGATTTGATAACATCTTCATTGTTGGAATTCAACAAATTGATCATTAATTGATTGTCTTTATGAGTAATATCTAAATAAGATATAAACTTTTATCTAATTTTTTTTATGGTTTTCACAAATAAAAAGAACGTAAAATTCGTCTTTAATCTCCTGGTCGGTACAGTTAGTACATATGTAATTAACAGAATCACTTTCCTTGGTTCTACCTATTAAGGACAAGAAAATTATGGAGAGATATTCTAAATGTACAAAGAACTCTCAAAAGATATTTATATTGTAATACAGTTAAATATTTTTCTGTTTCTAACAATGATTTGATACTAGCATAATGCTTGAGAAAATGTGAAGATGAAATTTGTTGGTGCCAGTTTTGCCAAGTAATGCCTCATCTGAAGCATATTTACCTGTGCGTAAATATCGCTTGAAATACAAAGTATGAACTTTTTCTATGGATTCAAAATATTTAATGCTTCATATTTCCGAGACGGATAACAAAACGGGTGCTATTTTACCACCAAATATAGAATTTGCCTGAAGCCTATTTCAGAAACAAGTTCGTTGACAAGAAAGCTGAATAAAAAAGGGCTTAAGATACAACCTTGACGAACTCCACTGGAAGTAGTAACACAAGGAGTTACATGTATACCCGAGTCAGATTTTCATACATGCTTTGAGGAATATATATTTTAAAAAACTATTGACAGTTTACCATGACATACTTTAGTGATCAATAGGTACAGCACTTTTCTGTCAGTGTAATCCAAAGTTTTGCGGAAGTCAACAAAGACGCAATAAAAACGACCACTAGCTTTACATAAATATATTGATGTGTCTGCAAAATATAGTTATTGTCGACTGTAGAATACTCAGAGCGGAACCCTGCCTGAGCACCAGATATCAATACATTTACTTCAAGCCAATTCTAAGTCGTCTCTTTCAACAATAAAAGCAAAATGACTTCCCATGACATTCAAAACAGACATACCTCTATAATTTTTTGGTTTGGCTGTAATTTCCTGATTTGTATCATTCCTGTATTCCATGCTTCGGGGAAAATACCTGTGTCAAGGATTTTACTGAATTAAAGCAAATATATGGTATCAGAAAATCACCTGATCTTTTGAAAGAATCTAATGGGACTAAATCAACGCCTGACGCTTTACCATTTAGACCTTTTCATGCTTCTCTCACCCCGTGTTCTGTGATCTCACAGATAACAATTGTTCCGTGATTGGATGTTCAGTACATTCATCACACATATGAGTATCTAAGAAATCAGATATTGATACGTCATTGGTTTCGGTTTCAATAATCTCTGAAAATAGGAAAGCCCTGCATTTGGAGTTATAAAACTGTTTCGTGATTTTCGTTTCGTCGGTGGACACACTCTTTTTTACTCAAATAATACTGTATCTCTGTAAATTTCAAATATCATTATAATATCATTTATATTCATTTTCATCCATTTATCAAAACGGTCTTAAAATGGAAGGACGGTTGGACAGTCAAACAAATAATGTTGTATTGTTTCCGGCACTTCACATCTGTCATATTTATTACTGGTCTTGACTTTAATAAAAATATTTCACTGTATGCCTCTATACGGCCGCCAGATACTTCAACTGGTGAGATCATTTTTCACTGTATGCCTCTATACTTTATCTGGCGGCCGCGAGATACTTCAACTGGTGAGATCATTTTTCACTGCATGCCTCTATATTTTATCTGGCGGCCGCTAATGGCTCTTCAAGCAGGTGATACCAACCTGTCGATTGCCAGGGCACTGATCTGG